TGATTTTCTCTAGTTTTCTCTCAATTTCTTTGATTTCTGTTATTTATCATGTCCTTCCTTCTACTTACTCTGGGTTTGTTTTCTTCTTTTTCTAGGTTCTTGAGATGGGAGCTTAGATTATGGATTTGAGGCTTTTCTAACGTACGCACTTAAGTGCTCTAAATTTCCTCTCAGCACTGCTTTAGCTGTGCCCCATTTTTAGGTTATATTTTCATTTTCATTCAATTCAATGTATTTTTTCTTAATTTCCCTTGAGACTTTCTCTTTGACCCATAGATTATTTAGAAGTGTGTTTTTTAAATTTCCAATTATTTGGAGATTTTCCTTATTATCTCTGTTATGGATTTCTAGTTTGAGTTCATTGTGATCAGAGAATACACTCTGTATGATTTCAATTCTTTTAAACTTGTTGAAGTTTTAGGAACCAGGATATGATTTATTTTGGTGACTATCCCATGGACTCTTAAAATAAGATTTCACGGGTTAGGTTATTGTTCTTTAGATCTTCTGTATCCTTGCAGATTTTCTATCTAGTAGTTCTAACAACTCCTGAGAAGGTAGTGTTTAAGTTCTCACTGTAATTGTGGATTTATCTATTTCTCCTTTTACTTCCATCAGTTTATAGATACATTTAGGGTTGTTATTTCTTCAGGGTGGGTTGACCGTTTTATGATCATATAATGTCCTTCTCTTTGGTAGTTTTCTTGCTCTAAAATCTACTTTATCTGATATTAATGGAGCCATTCCTTATCCTGTTTGCATGATATTTTTTTCCATCCTTTTCTTTTCAGCCAGCATATTATTAAATTCGAAGTGAGCTTCTTGGACAGCACATATGTGGGTCATGTTTTTCTAATCCAGTCTGCCAAAGTCCTTTAGAACATTTATATTTAATGTAATTATGATATATTAGGACTTAGGTTTGCCATTCATTTTTTTGTTTTGTTTGTTCTGTTTTTCACTTCCTTGTTTTCTTTTTCCTGCCTTCATGTGGATTATTTAAATATTTTTTAGAATTCTTTTTTTATTTATCTGTAGTGTTTTTTAATGTATCTCTTTGTATAGTTTAAGTGGTTGCTCTGGGCATTACATCATAAAGATAACATCATAATCATTTTATAAATTTGAGTAAAATATATAAGCTTTATCTCTCTTTACCATCTGTGATGGTTCATTTTATGTGTCAACTTGGTTAGGCTACAGTGCCTAGACAAATCCAGCAGTCTAGAAATTGCTGGTTAGTAGTATTTAAATGCTGTGATTAGCATTTAAACCAGTAGACTTTTAGTAGAGGGGATTACTTACAAAATGTAGGTAGAGCTCATCTAATCAGCTGAATACTTTAAGCAAGAAGGCTGAAGTTCCTGGAATAGAAGGGAATTCTGCCTCCAGACTGGCTACCTTCAAACTCAGGACTACGACATCAACTCTTGCCAGAATTTTCAGCCTGCCAGCCTACCCTACAGATTTTGGACTTTCCAACCCCACAATTTCATAAGTCAATTAATTACTTAAAAATCCACCAATCTCTCTCCCTGCTATTTCTCTGGAAAACTCTAATATACCATCCTTTACCCTACTCACTGTAATATATTGCCTTAAGTATTCCCTCTACAGACATTTTGAATCACATTGAACAATGTTATAATTTTTGCTTCAGCCATCATAGTTCAGAAAACTTAAGAAAAATCTGAATACACTGATATTTGGGATACCTCAAAGAAATAGACACTGATAATGTATAATAGAGAATTTGGCTGGCCTTTGTCCTGGGTTCCTGGGAGGTAGCCTCTAAATGCTTGGAATTTCCTGAGTTATAAGAGTATCTTTGTTATTCGTGGTGGGGCCCTGGGACCACAACTGATAATTTATATTAATAAGATGTCTCAGAGTGGGCCCCTAGATAGTTTGTGCTAATGAGATGATGCAGGATGGGGACTAGTCATTCGAGCAAGACCAATCGTGATTAGAGGGTTAGGACTTTTCAGTCAACATCGGAGAGGAGAAGAGCTGGAAATTAAGTTCAATGTGGCCAATGATTCAATCAATCATACGTATACAATAAAGCCCCAATAAAAACTCTGGACACTAAAGTTCAGATGAGCTTCCCTAGTTGACAATACTCTTAATATTGTCACACATTGATGTGCCAGGAGGGTAACGTGTCCCGATTCCATGGGAAGAAGAAGGCAGAAAGTTTACATTTGGAACATTCTCAGACCTTGCCCTATGCTTCTCTCCCTTTGGCTGGTTCTGATTTTCTTTTTGCTATAATAAAACCGTAATAGTAAGTATAGGGCTTCCAGTGAGTTCTGTGAGCCAATCTAATAAATTATCAAACATGAGGGGGTAATGGGAACCCTCAAATTTTTATCCAGTCAGTCAGAAATGAGGGTAACCTGGGGACACCCAACCTTGTAGCTGGTTTCTGAAATAAGGACAGTATGGTGGGAGATTATGCCATTAACCTGAAATCTGGCCTCACTCCAGGCAGTTGATATCAGAAGTCATTGCAAATATTAAGAATACTCCCAAGAAAATGTCCCAGCCAGATCACCCTGTAGTACATGCCATCCAACAACTCAACACTTCCTACCAAGCTTTCAGTCTCTCACTCTTTAAAAAGCCTCAAAAGGCTATGGAACACCAGACATTTTTGGAAGAAACATGGGAACACTTCAGATATGCTATCATTGATAACCTTAGAGAAATAACAAAAAAGAGCTCTTAAAAGTTAAAAACATGAGAGACAAAATAAAAAACTCCATAAAGAGTTGAAAACAAAACTGAGGAGGGCCGGCCAAGTGGCGCATTGGTTAGGAGCTGGCTTGGGACACCAGCTGAGCAGCAAGGCTCTGGTTCGGATCCCACATGAGGGCCAGTGATGCTGCGCCCTCTACAGTTAAGATGGTGAACAGCTCGACATGGAGCTGGGCTGCCGTGAGTGGCCGGCAACAGCGTAGGCTGCAGTGGGGCTGGCCAGTAGTGGACATGAGCTACTGTGAACTGCTGTGAGCTGCCATGAGCCACCGTAAGCAGCCATCCAATGGCCGACAAGTGACTGCCTCACCCAGGAAGAGCGCAATGATAATACCAATATGGGCCAGTGAAGCAACGTCCTCCACAACTAGACTGAAGACCAAAAGGACATCAATTTATAAATAAATTAAAATTAGAGGACCAGTTCAGAGGGCCCAGGCCCAAATGTTGAATAACAGAATTCTAGAAAGAATAAAAACAATGGGGAAGAAGAAAGCAAATAAATAATTTAGAAAAAATATTCCAGAATTGAAGGACATAAGTTTCAGGATTTAAAGTACCCGCTGAGGTCCCAGCACATGTATGAAAGAAATCCATATCCAGACACAGCATTGAGAATTTCGGAATAGTGTGGGACAAATATCTCACAAGCTTCCAAAAAAATAAGTCACATATAAAGGATAAAGAATCAGAACAGCATTAGAGTTTCAAAAAGAACACTAGAAGCTAAAGAAGACCGAAAAAAACATAACATTCAAAAATCCATGGGAAAACGATTTCCAAACTATGGTTCTATACTCAAACTTTCAATTAAGCTTGAGGGTTTGGGGGAGGGGGAGAACTTTTCAGATATGCAAGGACTCAAAACTCTGACGTCCCTTGTATCTTTCTGAGGAAACTACCAGAGAATCTGTTCCCCTAAAATGAGGGAGTAACCAATAAAGCAGAAACTGAAGCAGATACAACACAAGAAAGAGGTAAAGGGAATCCCCAGGATGATGGTGAAGTGAGATCTTAGAATAATTCACCCCTACAAGCCTACAGAGGAAACAGTCAGAATAAAGCAGGTCAGAAGGCTTTGGAAAGATTTCAAGATAAAGAAAATGATGAAATACTTAATGTGTCTAAATATACTGGAAGGAGATTTAAACAACAGTGAGGCAACTGGGATATAAAACTAGGTAAAGAAACAAAAAACAAAGCTTATTATTAATTCTAAAGAGGAATATAAAGTTGTAGAGCAAAGGAAAAGTAATCATAATGTACTACATGGCTCAGTAATGAATACCATTAACACAGTCATAATAATGCAAACACTGAATACTGTTTTAGCCAAAATTACAATGGGAAAATGGCAGGACAAGGAGGACTTGTGTGTGAAAGCAGCCTGGAGTCGGTGGGATGCAATTTGGAGTAGGAAAGAAAGCTGAACCCTCATCTTTCATAGTGGGAAGTTAACAGATAATGCCTATAATTGAAAAATCGAGAAGCAGCTCATAGGGCATGTTATTTAGAGTACAGAGGTAACCACCAAATATATCAAATTAAATGATTTAAAATGAGCAATGGGAAATATGAGGACTGCTGGGGATTGGAAGAACTTTCTAAGAATCATAACACATTTTGATTCTTTAAATACATATATGTATAACTTTTTTAAAAATTGTGTTTAACTAGAGAACACGTGTTCTATTTCTTCTCTCTCTCTTTTTTAAGTTTCAAAGACAAGAGAGAACATGGCATGCACAAAGAACTTAAAACACAGCAGGAACCTAGGGTGTAAAAAACAGAATGGCAATAAACAATATTGGAGATATAGGTAAATGCTGCTTCTTAGGAATTAATAGATGTTATTAACTGATAATATATATTGGGATAATTGGGAAAATGTAAATGTGAACTAGGTATGGTAACAATATTGTAATTATGTAGAAAAAAAGTCATTTTTTTAGGTATACATATGGAAATATCTAGCAATGAAATGTCACAATTTCTGCAACTTAAATATTCTTCAAAATTTAAATAAAATATTATAAAATGTGAATAATTGTTAAATCTTGATGATGGACATATGGAAATTTATCATATTACTATTTTTCAGTACATTTGAATTTTTCATAAAAAGTCAAGAAAAAATTACTTTGTAAAAACCTATGAAGTTGGGTTAGATTTCCATGACTATCTTTAAATGGGGATAGGTTGAAGAGGAGAAAACTAGAAATATTCTATGGTTATCTTACCATATCCTGCCATCGAAGCTCCATTCTCAACATCCACTGTGTTCTTATTTTCCTCTGCTAGAGCTTTAACATATCTTCTGCTTAAGTCTAGAATTTGTTCACGTAATTTGACACTGCTTTGATGCCTTGGTTGTTGAAAAGTATAATGCAGTAACATCAATCCCCAAATGAGTCCAAATACAAGCAACAGTAAACTCAATTTCTGGGACATATGTTTTCTTGAGATTGTAAAAATCATTTCTGATGAAGCAAACAGACTCAGCTGAAAGTGGTAACTAGAGGCAAGCCACCAAACAATCAAGACTTTTGAAAGAAAAAAGAAAAAATTTCCTCCTCCTCCTTTAATGCTGCATATTCTTCTTCATCTTCAGCAAGGTTGCCTCCAACTCTTAGTTAACTCTGTAAAACTGAGAAGAAAAAATGTGATTAGTCATAACCTATATCAATAACAGAATAGACAATGATATGTTTAAGAAGAGATTCTATAAATAGTTTTGATTTGGAATTATATCATCCTCTGTCAACTTTCTCCACCACTAAGCAAGCTGCCAGGTCTTTTATCAGTTTTATTTATATACGTCTTCAAATACTTAAATTAGAAATAAATGGCAATTCATTGAAAATATCTGAGAAAAATGCCACCATAGTCACAAAATTCTTTGAATGACTTCTTGTCATTTGTAACTAAAACTATGGATATGAGATTTACAGGCGGTCTCAGTCTATTCAAATACAGGTCACCAATTTAAGTGCTGAAAATCAATTTCTCCTCCTCCTCCTCCTTTTTAAAAAAAGTAGATGCCAAAATAAAAGTTTAAATGCCAAAATGAAAGGTGAAACAGATTGCAAAATCAAAATGCCTGTCTACATATAATGTCAATAGATGCAGAAAAGGCATGGCAAAATCCAGCATCCATTTATGATAAAAAACTCTCAGCAAAGTGGGAAGGGAGGGAACATACGTCAACATAAAAAAGTTCACGTATGATAAACCCACAGCTAACATCATACTTACTGGTGAAAAGCTAAAATCATTTCCCTGAAGATCAGGAACAAGACAAGGATGCTCACTTTCACCACCTTTACTGAACATAGTACTGGAAGTTCTAGCCATAGCAATCAGACAAGAGAAAGAAATAAAATGGAATCTAAACTGGAAAGCTGGAAGTAAAATTGTCATTATTTGCAGATGACATGATAGTATATAGCAAGAACCCTAAAGATTACACCAAAAAATTATTAGAAATGATGAATGAATTCAGTAAAGTCGCAGGACACAAAAATTAATATTCAGAAATCATTTGCACTTTTATACACCAATAACAAACTATCAGAAAGAGAAATTAAGAAAACAACCCAAGGGCCGGCCGAGTGGCTCAGTTGGTTAAGAGCTTGCTCAAGAGCGCGAGCTCTGAGTAACAGAATCACCGGTTCAATTCCCACATGGGCCAGTGGTGCTGCGCCCAAACTGAGCTGCCAACAGGTGGCAAGATGGCTCAGCTGGTGAGAGCACGTGCTCCTAACAAGACTGCGTGTTCCATGGTGGGCTATGCCCGCCTGCAATTAAGACTGAACTCAGCACCTTGAGCTGAGCTGACACCCTGATGGCTCAGTAGATAGAGCATGAGCTCTTAACAATAAGGTTGCCGGTTCGACTCCCACATGGATGGTGGCTACGCCCACCCGCAACTAAGATTGAACACAGCACCTTGAGCTTAGAGGCCATGAGCTGCCGATGGGCAGCCAGATGGTGACTGGCACCCTCCACAACTAAGACTGAAGAACAACTTAGCAGGCCCCCTTCCCAATTCCCCACACTGTTTCCCTCCTCCAATTCCCAATTAAAAAAAAAAAAAGAAGAAGAAGAAGGTAGAGGAAAAAGGCTTTTCCTTACAGCTTGTGGGGATTCAACATGAGTTCCCCCAAGACATGCTTCTGTGGTAGGTGGACTGTCTTGAGTGAAGGGCAATTTTAGCTTCAGGATCAAGAGAAATTTCTGCCCTTCCCTTTTAACTACCTAGAAAAACTTGAATAAGTGGCCTTACCCACAATAAGAGATTATCAGAAATAACCTCGTTTGACCTATCTATATGACAGACTTCTATTTACTCAACATCTGCTCTTATCACCCTGCAATGACCCTTTGAAGCCCCCAAGGCACCCTACCTCATCCCTAGCTCAGGATGTCTTAAGTATATACCGTATTTGCCGGCGTATAAGACGACTGGGCGTATAAGACGACCCCCTAACATTTCCAC